GGTTCTCGTTCGATCACCGAAGTTAAGCAGCGTCGAGCCGGGTTAGTACTTGGGAGGGAGACCACCTGGGAATACCCGGTGTCGTAGACTTTTTTCCATTTTTTTTTTACTTTTTTAATCTGTTCATTGAATTGCATAGCAATTATTTATTAGTAATAAATTATTACCATTCAATTTTTGGTTGAAAATCAAATATAATACTTTATAAATGCATTTAAAAAACTATTAATGTTTAGAAAGCTTGGGATATATCGGTCATTCATTGGGCACTTCAATGATGTTTCAATTGCTGTCAACACAACCAGAATATACGGCAATCATTCGGCCGTTCATAGCGTTAGCACCGATAGCCTATGTGGGAGCCATTGAATCAATTATTGGGCGCATTATTACAGCCATTCTTAAAGTTGTGTAAATTTAAATAAAGTTAACAAAAGTTAAAGAATGACATTTAAAAAGTGCGAATTCCTTATATCAAAATTGGGTACACTCTGTACTCACATGTAAAAAACAAAGTCTTTAACTAGATTCTAGTTACTAGATTGATTAAATAATTTTTGTACTGTATTTTTATTTTATTATTTGTAATAAGCACTTATAAATTTAATTGTATTTAATATATCATAATAAACATTCATAGTATATTAAATTAAAACTACACAGCTTAATATTTCAATTTCATTTATCGTAATCTAAAAATATCCAATTGTTTTAACCCAAATCACAATCAATATTACTGTAATTACTTTGAGTGGCAACTATTCTTATGATCGGTAATTCTGTGAACACAATGCAATACATTTTAGTTAAAATATGCTGAAAATGATGTTAAACCACACAATAGGTACAAATAACGCGGCGCCCAATACTGTTGAAGACATCGCCCACGGAGTGGAGGAGACAGTGAAGGAACTGTTGGCCAAAATGCCCGAAACAAAGCTTATACTGTTGGGAGTGTTGCCGAGGGCCGAGCCATTGGGCGCTAAAGTGAAACAAGTGAATACATTGATCAAGAAATTAAATAACGATAAGAATGTATTCTTTCTGGACATGTGGTCAGCCTATGAGAGCGCTGACGGACACATCAAGACTGAACTCTTTGGGTCCGACAAACTGCACCCAAATGCCAGAGGGTATGAGGTTTGGCAGCAGACTATGGAACCATTGCTTAATAAATTGTTGCAATAATTTATATATATTTTTTGTTGAAATAAACATTATTTGTATTAAATTTTAATTTTTTAATGCATTAATGTTCAAAAATTATGTCTTACTTTTATAGTATTAATAATAATGATTTTATATTGTTATTAAATTAAGATTACAATTATGATTTTCATGATTAATTGTCATGAAATGACACAAATCCTGTCATTTAATGACATTTAAAGACATAATAATTGCAATCATTTTCTTTTCTAAGTCTCGAAGAATTAGTAGAACTAATGTAAAGATTGTGATAACAGTTATAAGTACTGTATCTTTATATTCAATTCATTAAAACTTGTTGTCTAAATCAATGTCCCACTTGTCTCACCGTATCTTTCCTTCAAATATGTTATTTTGGGTGAAATACCAAACAATAGATATATTTCTTATAGTTTATTGATTTGTTTGCAGAATAGTATAAAACCATTGAATTTATCCATAATATAGTGAGGCCACCGCTAGATTCTGGGAATCTAGGCGCCAGCAATCCTGCGATCCCTTAGCCATAAAGGGGTCATAAACCCCAGATGTGGGACACCTGTGTCCCACTTAGACGGACAGCTCCTTATATGCTGTCCAACACTTACTTTTGTCTCTCACTCTCTCACATACACTCACTCTGAGCACATGTGTCTTAACTTTACTTTTGAATAAAAGTGTTTTTCAACGAGTTTTGTCTCCCGATTCTTCGCGCTTCGCCCGCCTATCGCTCGCCCACTGACCGCTCGCCCGCTTAACGCTAAGCCCGCACTTCAATAGTATAGAAATGAATAATTAGTTTTGAAAATACAGTATTTTTAAAATGAGTTTATTTTAATATGAAATATAAAACAATAAATTCACAAATTAAATATTCAATTAAATAAAAAGTTATAGAATTTGTTGACAAATGTGTGAATAAATATTTTCCTAATTATAAAAACAATTTGAAATATCATTAAAAAAATTCGTGAAATAAAATGAATAGTAATTTGAATGAAAACATGTGTAGAGTAGA